TTCTAGAAAAACATCTGAAAATTGAGGAACTTTAGTAGAGAAATTTAAAATTTTTGAAGAGAAGTATTGTGAGCATCAGGCTAGTTTCTCAAACTACAAAAGATCTTCAAGACAGTTTAATTAGGTGGTGTAGCAATAAGCGTGATTGCCTCTCACTCCAAGGACCTGGGTTCAATCCCAGTCGGCACCGTCGGGAATTTTTAAGGCCTAAAATCTCTGATCACGCGAAAGTAAAGCCGTTCCATGCGACGAACGTGCGACCATTGTCCTTGTCATACACGAACTCCGCCATGTCCAGCACTCTTTCATCGGGGGAGAGATTCCTGATGGCAACTTGGGTGGTGGCCAGCTGTTGGACCATCTGCATCACCTGATCCTGAATGTTCGGTGGATGTGGCATCTGTCCGGCACCTGCATTCGGCGGGTCACCATTGCTCTGCGCCATCACGATGTCCCCGATCCAAGAGTTGATGGGTCGATAGGTAGGATTCATGTGTGGAAGTGGCCCCCCTGCATCGGTACCATTGTTACTCAGTACGGAAAACAATATCGACGGAAAATAAATCAAGGAGGAAAAATACAGTTTAATTAACTTCATGGAAATTTTGGGAACCTTCAAGTAGTTCAGTAGTCATCAAAATACAGTCAAATTTCGCTCGTTGGGCTATGTTTAAGTGGGCTACGTTTTAGTTGGGATCCCGCTAGTTGGGTTGTAGCCAACCTAAATCGAAGTCAGACGTCATTTCTGACAGTGCTGATTCATTTTCGAGGGGCTCATGTATGAACAATTTGTTTAGTTTCTAAAGGATTGTGATGATAATAAACAATCGGTGTATTCCTCAACCCATTATAAGCTTGACAGCTCAGCACAACTAACGAAAGCCTTTTTGCAAAGTTGGCTACGGGTTTAGCCCAACGAGCGAAAGTTGACTGTATTCATTTCAGAACTCCCTTTGAAATACACTCCATCCCTTGTAATTTTACTCACATCTACTCTCGCAAATTTCTTAGATTTCTCCTCACAATATATTTGACAAACTCTCTTGGAATTATATTCCGAATTCCTTTGAAGTTCTCCTGGAATTATTCTCAGATGTAATTGTAATCCGAATTCATTTTTCCCCACAAATTTCTTGAAATTATCCTCAGAATACCCTTGGATTTTTACTTTGGGGCTCCCAGGAGTTCTGCTCAGAATTAACATGGAATAATTCTCAGAAATTACAATGAGGTTTCATTAAAATACACTTTGAATCTAATCCACGATTTCCTTGAAATTCTACTCCAAATTATCGCAAGTTTCACATGAAATCTGGAATTCATATCTTAAAAGCAGTGTATTTCTTAAAGATTTCTTTGTCAACTCATTCCAGAAGATCTATAGAAATTATAATCAAATTCCAAGAGCTTTTGAAACGGTGCAGGGATTCATGAAAATTTCTTGAAGTTTAATTAATTTAATCCAGAATTTAAAAACCGTCTTCAAAAAAATCTTAATTTTTTAAATGTTATTTGATGACTGAATGAAAATAATTAAATGTTTGCATTATAAAATGAATTAATCATTGTGTCAAGGTTCTGCATTGATGTTCCATCAGATGTCACTGCTGTTGTTTGCAGTGACATCTATCGGAAACTACGTCAAATATGTTTTCCATTAATTGTTCGCAGAGGACACTGCAGTGTAAAACATGTCTGGTACCTCTATATATGCATCTAGATTAATATTCGAAGTCCCCTTTTTTACACATTCTGCACACAAAATAGATTACCCCTCACAGAATTTCCCGCCGATATTTATAAATGTGGCGGGGCAGAAAGTATCTTTTGTGCAGAATATGTAAAAAAGGAGGGACTTCGAATGTTAATCTAAATGTATATATATAGAGGTACCAGACATGTTTTGTAGTGACAGATACTCTATTTTGTAATCTGTGAAAGGGAAATCACAAATCGAGTGTCATCAAAATACATGGCATGTTGAGAGATTGAACTCGTGAGAGTAAATTTTCTCTCTCAAATTTGAATTTTTTGGCTCTAGGGGAACTGGTAGTAAAGCAGATAAAACTGTATGCGGAAAAATCATTTTTATTTAATTATAGCTTGTTGAGCAATAATTACCGAGGAAGAACTGAACGACAAAGTCCCTGACTAATTGATTTAGGTTGTCGTTCACTTTTTTTTTTTACCTGAATATGCATCGAAAGCGAATTATTCCGACTATATGAGGATTTTTATCACTTCCTATCAGCGGAACAGCGCCATCTCTGTGGAAGATGGCCGGACGATATGATTAATTGCATTCTTTAAAATATCCTTAGTAAGAGAATTTGAAAATTCTATAATCTCATCATTCCAGGAATTTTCAGGAAAAATAAAATTTCTTGTGAATTCCCGATATTCCAGTTTTTTTTATGTGGCAGACACCCGTTTCTTGACACCACGATTTTGATCACGTTAGTGTCATTTTGATCTTGTTATTGGGTCAAATTAATAAAATTGCGACTACTTAGCTCAAATTTAACGACAACAGCACTGTCAAATTGTGTATTAAAGGGTGATACGGTCAAAATTTGTTCAATATCAACTTGACGTATTTCTTTCAATTTTGCATTTAAAAAACCTGAACACCCCTCATTTTGAAGGTGTGTGTGTGTAGAATGTTGCTCCTATTTTGATTTTGGAATTCACTCTTCAGTTGTCAAAATGCCGTCCAAGCAAGAAGAGCAGCGTATCAAAATTTTGCTCGCGCATCGCGAAAATCCGAGCTACTCGCTCGCAAAGTTGGCAAAATCGCTAAAAGTTGCCAAATCAACCGTTACAAATGTAATTAAAGTGTCGACAGCCAGGAAGTCTGGATCGGGGGGAAATCGAAAACCGGAAGCCGCTGAGACGACAAAGAGAGTTGCCGGTAGTTTCAAGCGAAACCCTAACCTCTCTCTCCGAGATGCCGCAAATAAGCTGGGTGTATCGTCTACAACCGTGCATCGAGCCAAAAAACGAGCCGGACTATCGACTTACAAGAAGGTAGTGACTCCAAATCGCGATGATAAACAAAATACGACGGCCAAAGCGCGATCCCGGAGGCTGTACACGACGATGCTGACGAAGTTTGACTGCGTGGTAATGGACGACGAAACCTACGTCAAAGCCGACTACAAGCAGCTTCCGGGACAGGAGTTTTATACGGCAAAAGGAAGGGGAAAGGTAGCAGATGTTTTCAAGCACATGAAACTGTCAAAGTTCGCAAAGAAATATCTGGTTTGGCAAGCCATCTGTACCTGTGGCTTAAAAAGCAGCATTTTCATAGCTTCCGGGACTGTCAACCAAGAAATTGACGTGAAAGAGTGTTTGAATAAACGTCTGCTGCCTTTCCTGAAGAAACACGGTTGTTCCGTACTGTTTTGGCCGGATTTGGCATCTTGCCATTACGGTAAAAAGGCCATGGAGTGGTACGCCGCCAACAACGTGCAGGTGGTTCCCAAGGACAAGAACCCTCCCAACACGCCAGAGCTCCGCCCAATTGAGAAATACTGGGCTATTGTCAAGCGGAACCTAAAGAAGACCAAAAAAACTGCTAAGGGCGAGCAGCAGTTCAAGGCAAACTGGCTTTCTGCGGCGAAGAAGGTGGACAAGGTGGCTGTACAAAATCTGATGGCAGGGGTCAAGCGTAAGGCCCGGCAATTCGGATTTGGAAAAGCGGAAGCCTAACTGAATATTTTTCCTGAATTTTATACTAATTGAACTTGAAAAAGAAATTTAATTTGATTTTTTAAATAAACGATTTCACCGATTTACACGCGTTTTCCCTTGACCAAATTTTGACCGTATCACCCTTTATATTTTTTAGAAATAATTTATGTCTTACAATTGTAACTATAATTGTAACAAAACGAAGATTGACGACAATAAAATAAATAAATACAGCAATTCCATAGAAAAAAGTTATAGTGGGTCTCAGAATTTCATGAAAATTGGTATAGTTCTTCCTTATCAAAAAATATTAGACTCGTATTTTTTTATTGCGCCATTAGGGTGACCATTTCCGTGTTAGGGTGGTCCAAAAAATCATTTTTTTTCAAAAATGTCTTTTTTCAAAAATTTATAACTTCTGAACCTCTTGACCGATTTTTACGATTGACCCTTCAAATGAAAGATGTTTTAATGTAGTTTTAAGAAAAATTATGAAACACTCAGAGATATTTGATTTTGTAGGAAAAAAATATGTTACAAATGCTTTTTCTTGATTTTCACTGCGAGGGTCTTCAACAACTTCATATTTTAGTATTTTTAATTGAAAGATCATTTAATTTTACATAACATATCAAAAAATTAGCGATGTCGGAGAAGCAGTTTTGGAGATAAAATAAAAAATTATTGTTCCGCAATATATGCACCAAACGTGCATGGAAACGATGAAGACGCAAGGTAGTTCACAATGCGCCTCCATCGAGTCACAGCAGCTGTGACTAATGAAATCTATGAGTAACTTACAAGCTGGGTGCAACATTCAGTTCAACCTGCGGGCCGTCCATAAACCACGTAGACCAAGTTTTAAACATTGAAGATCCTACCTTTCCCTTCGTATACTCAAATTTTAAAGCGTTTCGTCTCAATACTCCTCCCATAGGGCCTTTTCCATGACAAGTTGCGAAAAAATGCCACACGGCAGCAATGCCAAAATTTTTTGCATGTTGCATCAGTTGCTAAGAGTCCAAGCTGTACCTCATAGGTATATCACTCGTTCGTAGGCAATGACTTTTACATAAGCTCCAGCCCAATAGGCTTCGCGGTGTTAGTGACATTTGGAAATATTTAGTGGTGTTTGTATTTGTTCGCAATATTCATCTATTTACCTGAAACAGCTGTTTGAAGTGACGTCATTGCTTACGAACAGGTGATATACCTATCAGTTACAGCTTAGACTCGTAGGTATATCACTCACTCGTAGGTACGATATAATGCTTCACATAAAACAACGAATGTTATGAAAGAAATGATCAGTTAGAAATCAAAGTTTCCTACTAGAACAGTTGAATTGAAGAATATCTAAAAATGAAACGTAAGTGTTCAATGTGTGATGTTTGGATGTTGAGTTCATGTGCCAGAAAAATCACCAATAAATTGTACGATTATGCAGTGGAAAAAAAGATTAAAATAGATGAGAGTAGCTCCTTCATTTGTCAACGATGCTACCACAAACTATATGAACCCAATGATGCCGTGACCGAAGAAGCCGTTGCAGGACCATCCAGAATCGCTGCTGCAGGTACGTTATTTGAAAATTCATGTGATTCTTCTTCAAATTTCAATTCTTTTCTTCTAACTACTAACTTAAACTCTTCTTTTTTGCAATCATTTTTCAGAGTCCATCGAAGCAACCAGCATTGAATCAATTTCCGTTGCGGGACCGTCCAGAATGGTTCCTTTTCCCTGCCAAGGTAAATAATAAAAAAATAAATCGTTTGTATGCTTTTTTTTCTAATAATCAATCATTTTTTATATTTATTTTCAGAATCAGTGGAAACAACCAGTTCTGAATCGATCGTTACCACCTACAACGCACCTTTGTCGGACGAAAATGAATTCCTTATACAACTTAAGGATAAATATAAAGAAACAAGAGACAGCAATGAGAGATACAGGATTTTAACCACACTTCCCAAAAGTTGGTCTACATATAAAATTATGAAGGAGTTCAATGTTTCCCAACATATGGCCAACCAAGCAAAAGCACTGCAGCAAGAGAAAGGAATAATGTCGGTGCCTGTAAAGAGGTTAAGCAGAGCTTCATTAGGAGAACCAACGATAATGCTTGTTCGTGATTTTTACAATAGTGACGATATAAGTCGTGTTTGTCCGGGGAAAAGAGATTATTTAATATCTAAAAATGATGAAGGCGAAATCTACGTACAAAGAAGATTAGTCTTGTGTAACTTGCAGGAGGCGTACTCCATCTTTAAAAATACATATCCTGATATTAAAATAGGATTTTCCATGTTCGCCAGTAACCGCCAGTAACACTGCATTTTTGGCAGGGACAAGTGGCACGCATACCGTATGCGTTTGTATATATCATCAGAACGTTAAACTTATTTTTAAAACACTACAAAGCAGACAATCACTCCCAGATGGTGTTGATTCCTATCACGATTTGTTTAAAAAAATAATTTGTCAAAATCCAAGTGAACAATGCTGGCTGCAGTGTTGCAAAAATTGTTCAGGAACGCAAATTTTGGCCACAGAACTAATGACTATTCTTAGTAACGGACATGTTGAATCAATACAATTCAAACAATGGCGTCAAGTAGAGAGATGCATTATGGATTTAGTTGAAATGGACACACAGGAATTTATTGATACTTTTTTAGAAAAATTATTCAATTTATTGCCGCATAACTTTATAGCTGAGCAACAGGCAAATTACATGAAACACGTCAAAAGAATTTGAAAGCTACAGAATGCATCATAATCTGTGATTTTTCGGAGAATTATTCTTTCGTTGTGCAGGATGCAGTTCAAGGCTTTCATTGGGCGAACGCCCAATGTACTATTCACCCTTGTGCTATTTATTTTAAAGACGAAGAATCTAACGATTTGAAATTTACTAGTGTTATTGCAATTGCTGATTTCACTAAACATAATCATGTCGCAGTTCGGTTATTTCTTACGCATTGTCTAGCGTTCATAAAATGTAAATTGCCAAGCTTACAACAGATTTACTTTTTCTCAGATGGATCAGGAAGCCAATATAAAAATAAGATGACCGCTTTTAATTTATGCAACATGCAAAAAGATTTTGGCATTGCTGCCGAGTGGAATTTTTTCGCAACTTGTCATGGAAAGGGCCCTTGTGATGCTTTGGGAGGAGTATTAAAACGAAACGCTGCGAAAGCGAGTTTGCAAGGCCACCATATAACAACGGCCCAAGAACTTTACTCATGGGCTATTTCTAAGCCAGATTCAAAAATACACTATCAGTTTTTTTCGGAATCCGATTACAATAAAATGGAAAGAAAATTGAAAAACCGTTATATACATGTGAACCAAATTTCGGGGACACAGTCATTCCATAGTTTTAAGCCTCAAAACGAAAAGTATATTATTGTCAAACGGTATTCATTTTCAATGGAAGAAAAATGTGTGAAATTGTAATTAAAGAAAATAAATGCTTCATGTTTTACTTATTTTTCTTCGACCTCGTCATTATTTGTAGCATTTAAGTACTTCTCCCAGAATGTTGATACCAAAATTAATAATGTCAAACTGGAGCCTGTTTTAAAGCCACGAAGAGTTCAATGGGGGAGGGGAGTCCAGCCACAGTATACGCTCGGTAAAAATATTTTAAAATTTTAGTAAAGTATACGCGGGGGGAGGTAGGATCTTCAATGTTTAAAAATTGGTCTACGTGGTTTATGGACAGCCTCCAGGCTGAACTGAATGTTGCACCCAGCTTGTAAGTTACTCATAGATTTCATTAGTCACAGCTGCTGTGACTCGATGGAGACGCATTGTGAACTACCTTGCGTCTTCATCGTTTCCATGCACGTTTGGTGCATATATTGCGGAACAATAATTTTTTATTTTAAAAAAATTGTATCTCCAAAACTGCTTCTCCGACATCGCTAATTTTTTGATATGTTATGTAAAATTAAATGATCTTTCAATTAAAAATACTAAAATAAGAAGTTGTTGAAGACCCTCGCAGTGAAAATCAAGAAAAAGCATTTGTAACATATTTTTTTCCTACAAAATCAAATATCTCTGAGTGTTTCATAATTTTTCTTAAAACTACATTAAAACATCTTTCATTTGAAGCGTCAATCGTAAAAATCAGTCAAGAGGTTCAGAAGTTATAAATTTTTGAAAAAAGACATTTTTGAAAAAAAATGATTTTTTGGGCCACCCTAACACGGAAATGGTCACTCTAATGGCGCAATAAAAAAATACGAGTCTAATATTTTTTGATAAGGAAGAACTATACCAATTTTCATGAAATTCTGAGACCCACTATAACTTTTTTCTATGGAATTGCTGAATATAAGTGGTCTCACATCGAAAGCACGAAAAAAATAAAGTATAGTATATTATAGTATAAGTATAGTTAGTGCTTTCTTTGTGGAGGAAGTAAAGTAAACTCTTTTATTCATTAAGTGGATAGAACTAAAGTGCCATATAAGAATAATCGAATTTAAGTTTTAAGCGTACTTATTTAAAATGGACAAGATCGAAGTCTTCGAAAGATATTACAAAATTCCCGATTGAATGTACAACGATGGAATAAAAAACAATTGTTTTGAATGCAAATCAGGACAACGCTTGAAAGCCGCAAACAGTATCCCCTAACGAATAAATCTCAGGGAAGACTAGAAACGCGTTGCATGTCACGAGTGATTCAACAAATCCTAATTCCAATTCTTAGGAAAAAACCTCCAAACTGGCATCACGTGCTCGATCGTATGGTACTGACGATCACTTGACTGCTTTTTCGGCATTCCGCATCGCACATACGTCGACGCCACACGCTTCCAAGCGCCCGCATGCTCAACAGAACGAACGAAACCGAAATTATTAACCATGCAAATGTAAAACAGCAGCTCCGTCCCAGTGCATCAGCACCTATAGTAGTCAGCATCATATCCTCGTCGTTCGTATTGGTTCGTTTCGATGGACGCTCACCTACATAACTATAGGCATTTAAAACTTGGCCTCTCGCGACCATCTCGAATAAAAAAAGGCTTGATAATGCGGATTTCAAAATGTTGCACGCCGAGGTATGGGAGAGAAGATTTGAAACGGTTATATTGTTTGAATTAAGTAATTTAAATTAATTTGATAAAAAAGTCGAAATCAACATTTTTTTAATACCCCGTTCACATTACTGACTATATCACGTGATATACGCTGTCTTGCAATGAGCACTCATACATGTAGTTTTCACTGGAAATCCTATGTATGAGTGCTCATTGCAAGACAGCCTATATTACGTGATATAGTCAGTAATGTGAACGGGTTATAAATTTCGAATATTTAATATTATAACATCTGTTGAGTAGGCCTTGAGTTTTTTTTTAATTTATTAAAGAAAAATTTCAATCCCAACCTCACCGTGCACAATTTTTTTAATCTGCATCATCAAGCTTTTTTCCAAGATGGCCGCAAGAGGCCAAGTTTTTTAGGCCTATAGGCAAGAGTGAAGAAACAAACAGGCGAAACAACACACTATCCGCCGTTGGACTGTTTCGCGGTCGCGGTTCGTCGCTCGTTATGGAATAGGAAAGATATCGAGACGCGTTGATCACTTTTCCTTCATTCATCGAATCGCGCGCTCTGTTATAACAAACTCCAATACGACTGCTCTGAATCCGCTGGTAAGCAAAAGCAAATCGATCGCAGCCGCGGCCCGGTAAGAGATGGAGTTTCGAGAGGTTTGATCAATAAAAGAAATCTTTATGATCGATCCACGGCGCGGTGTGGGTGAGAACAAGACTCCTAGCAGGCTGGTTTTTTAATGATTCGGGGTAACAGTACGATCAAACTGCAGCAAAGGATGCGAAAGTTACCAACCATGCTGCGGCTTCCACTTTGTTTTCTCGCTACTAATTGGTATGCCGAATCAATTAGTCAAGCGTGTCGATAAAAGGAGAGAAGCGGATTAAGTACAAAAAGCAACTAAATGTCTCAATTTCTACGATGGAAGTTGATACAGCCAGCCAAACTGATAAACTGGTTTTGCTCTTATCCGTCAGCGGATGAGTAATCGGATGATGATAATTTACTGGATTTTATCCGGCAAGAATTTTGATTGCGTAATACACATAGCATGCTCCGCTGAATTATTCACCACCAACAATGCAATGTGTGTCGGTTCTGTTTTAACTTTCTGTTTCGCTAATGTCATTTGGAGCTATCTGGTGCTGTTTGCATGCAATCGCCTTTGGAGCATCACGCTCGCGTGACCGAGCGAAATACCTTCACTTTTAAGGGTGTTAGTAGATAATTGATTGCGGCGGGATTCCTTAGAGCATGCATGTTAGGTTATGTGTAATTGAATGATTTAAAACTGCTGGTGCTGCTATAAAAATGTATCAAACGGCTGTTAGCCAAACGAGGCGCGACTCCATCGTGGGGTTTCAAAACTGATCTTTGTTCGTTTGAGATTGAGAACGAGAACGCGACAACAACACAACAAAGTCGCATTACACCTACAACCTAATGCGCATTCGTCGTAGGCAGATTTACGGCCTTGCCTTAACGAGTTTATGACACTCGGCTTCTCCAGGCACTAAGTGGCGTGTGTGGGGTCGGTCAATTGATAAGGTGATATAGCAAAAAATTTATCACACTGAATTGGTAATATTCGCCATGAAAATAAAAAGAATGAGCTCTAAATTTTGAATTCACAAATACATTTTAGGATTAGATTTTTTGGCAAGTAGGTAGTTTATAAATCTACTGAACTTCCAGTTGCAGTGTATGGATGTATTTTGTGCAACTTTCTGATTTGAACCCAAAGTGAGAAAGAGATGAGAAGTTCACTACACTAGAGTTAGGAATTATCACACTCGACCGATCTTTTGTAGTGTGCATACGCTCTCTACTCTAATATTGTGACAAATGATCTCTCGAAAATTCTGACCAGGAAAAACTTCAAGAGATGGAGTGTCCAATTTATCCATGTGAGAACGGAAATTTCCGCATCGTGCTCTCTTGTCGATCCGCACATTTGATTTTTGCTTAAGAAAGTTTAACTGCTACATAAAGCTGCAACGAATTTAAACAGCACTTCTCAGTGCAAAACATTACCTGCACGTTTTCTACTTTGTTCGATTCTTATTCCTCTTCGATCGTTGTTTGGACCCTACCCGGGGTAATCCTGCTTTTTTATCGATTTGGAAAATTCCTCTTGGATCTATCGAATTCTTATAGTAATATGCTTAGGAGCCGATTTGAAGAAACTTTCGTCTGCCGCCATGGCGCCTAAACGCAAAAGAAAAGGGTAATCTCTTGATCCCTCTTCTGGTGAAATTTAGTTGAGCAAACAATTTGATATCCCCGCGGATGTTGAAAACGATCCGTGCTTGTCTGTATCGCTCCACATTCAACCTCGGCCGTGTAGCATTCTTCTCCTGTACTAACAGTTTGCATTCGCCGTCAAACCAGTCATTTCTTCGGTTCGGGATCGCAGTACCTAGTGCCGCTGCAGCAGTACTACCTATGGCGGAACGGATGTCCCTTCAGCCATTTTCAAAAGCAGCGCCGCTTCCAGCTGCTGCGTGGAATCCTGGGCAACTCCGGCGTCCCTTCTTCTTCTTCTTCTTC